TACTTTTTAATATGACTGTTTTGAATCAAACGGGTTATACTCTCGATACTTTACATTAAAAAAACGAAAAGCTACTTTTAACAAACAAATTGACTTTTACATCGACATGTGAACATGAAAAATATTAAAAATATAATATATGTAATCCATCGCACTTCAGCGTAACCACAATCGCACTTCGGCGTAGCTATCAACACAAAAGCGTCACAATGCCACCATCGCACTTTGGCGTAGCTACTAAAACAAAAGCGTCACAATGCCACCATCGCACTTCGGCGTGATAAAAAACGCACTGCAACGTTAAACCATCGCATATCAGCGTGATCATCGCGGTTCAGAGTGCTACATATATACGTAGTAACTTAGGACTGATAGGAACAAAGGGGACATACACAAATAGCCACATTAGGCTAAAATGTAGTTTGACTCAGGAAGTTGGAATCTAAGTATTGAGTAATGTCTTAATTTATCAACAGGGAATGTTAGAAAATATGTTATCAATCATGTCAGTCATGAACCACTGACATAATTATGCATATTGAATGAAAACCAAAATGACTGAATTCTTATCAAAATATTTATAGAATAACTAATCGAAGAATTCAAATAGAGATAAATATTCAACGAGTGACCGAACAACACATTAATTCACGAATGCGCGTAGCGCATGAGTTAATTATCAGTGTTGTTCGGTCACGAGTTGAATATTTTTCGATATTTGAATTCTTTGATTAGTTATTCTTTTTATTACATTGGCAAATGGTTTTTTTTTTTAATGAAATTAATGTAGAAAATGTAAGGAACTATATCTTTTTTCTACGCATTCACAACTTGTTTTGATCCGACGTTATCGACGTCTTGACAACGCCTATTGTTGTATGACATCAGAGAGTGAAATAACCACGTTTATTTCATATGTGAAATTATCGGTTTTTATTTGACTGGGAAATCAATGTAATTCAATGCTACCAATGTAATAAGAGAAGATAGCTCTTATAGAATGCGAAATAAAATGGAAAAAAGAAGTCACCTCACTATTTTTCTTGCTATGATACAATGTAGAAAACGTTACTGTATATTTTTTTTTATCTAATTAAATTATCTGAGTGATCTACCTTATAAGTTTAAGTTGTAAATAAAATTTGCTTTATCAAAATAATAAGTCTTACAAATAAACCACAATCATGCCTTAAAATTTGCTTATCGCATTAAAAAATCAAAATGCAATTTTAGTGCGCACATTACGTGTTCCTAAAATGATAATCTTTGGAAACGCTCGATATCAAAGAATTGTGCTGGTCAAAAATAAATCATTCTAGTTTATTTCAATTCGTAAGATCTGACAAATATGTGGATAAACTCATCATAGATACCAGGATTAAAATTTTGTATGGCAGACGCGCGTTTGGTCTACATAAGTTAACAATGGGGAAAAATGAGTCGACAAGAAATTCTAAAGGCTTGCTGCTATGAACTGTAACCCCTTATGAAATAATTGATTTCCAATTGTATGTTCAACAATCACTGAGGCCATGGAATATTTTCAATATATTTACTTGGGATCATTTCTATCGGTCTTGGTTTGATGAAGTTGTATACATTGTATTCAATATTCAATTAGACAATGCAAAATATTTTGCTTATCTCATCAATTTATTTGTTAGCTTTGAACTTGAGATTTAATTACAGAATGTACCATTGTAAGCATTTAATACCTTTCCGAGTTTAGCAATGGCTGATTGTAAGCTGGTTCGTTTGATTTTGTGTTATATTTCAACTTCAGGGTTGTTTATATTTGCTCTTCGTCTCTATCCTTTGTACACAAACGTTTTTTTTTTTCAATTTAAAACATTTACATTCGGACTACAGAAAGCGCACAATTCTCTTATATCTTCCGGTTTATATAAGTGAACAATAACATATGAAATAATTTGAAAATTAAAGTTTGAGGAAATAATCTTATTTTAATACTTCCCCACAAATACAAATTTATAAAAGTATAATCCATTTCTGTATTCAAAATGAATAGTTTTATGAAAAAAGTTTAACAAAAATACTGAACTATAAGGCAAATTTAAAAGGGGAAGTTTATAAAAACTAACAGAATCAAACGGACCAAAATTTAATGTTAATTATTTATGATACGATAGCTAAAATCACTCTACGCTTTAAAACGGGCTCTATTTCGATATGAATATTAAATGCGAATATATAGAAAAAAATAAAGGCGACAGTAGTTTACCGATATTAAAAAGACAATCGATCTCATCTTGAAATTGTTCAAAAATAATACAATCTGTAATTGGATAAGCATTTTTGTCAGAATATTTTCCTGTAGATTTTTTTTAAACAGACATAAATTTAAAACCATTTAATGCACCAAAATGTATACGTTTATATATTGAAAGTTCTGCTATTAATGAACAACGTAGTTAATGTTGTAGACAATATGTAGATTTCGATTAGAAGATTTGATTTCTTATAATCCACGCGGCTCCAAATTTTCAGCTATTTTAGTGGGATCTTTGTTTCCAACATCAGTGTATGTGCTGCTTTTATGAACAGTTGTTTGTCTTTTCGTGTGTAATTGTAGCTCTGGATTTGTCTTTGTTTGTTTGGTTGGTTGTTTTTCGGTTGTTCCCGGTTGTTTGTTTGTAGTTTTTGCTTGTTTTGTTTCTTTTTTTCTTTGCTTAAGTGTTGTTTGTCTTTTCCAACTTGTGTCAGATCACCCGATCTAACTTTCGTCTGTTCTGTATAGAAAAAACGTACTGATACCGAACCAATGGTACTAAGAAGATGTTACCCTCCTGACTTAAGTGTACAAGCTGCTGTATCAAAGCTTTTGGTATTCCGAAACTTAACTTTTGATTTCTGCGTGCGTTTCTGGTGTAACTTTTATAAGTTACACTAAAATCCAAATTATGGACTCAGAAACAAAAAATGTATTTGATAAAAAAAATACCAAGTAAACAGCTTTTCTGAGGTATTTTTAAGCATTGTGAAATGCACACAATGACAAATTGTTTTCACTGAAAAAAAAATAATCAGATGAATCCTAATTACCTACGGTTACATGATTGTTTGTCATTAACTACCATCATTAACTTTATTATAAATTAGACTTTGCACATATTAAGTTAGTTTTGATGTTTTATATTTTCGACAAAGTCGATTTTAATCAGTGAAGAACACGGGAGATTATATATTGAAAAACGGAAACATATAAACATAGTCTAAACAGAAGGAAAACACCATGTATGGTAGAAATGGCCCAAAGGAATTGTGATATAAGTTATACCACATTTACAAAGTTTTAAAAGTATCAATTCACAGAAAAACAATAATATTTATATAAATTTGTACTTGTAACTATAAAAATGACTTACTTTCTATCAAACAAACTTTGGTGGATTTTAAGAAAATTACTCCCTTTCACAAATTACTATTAATTAAATTAATGATGTACGACAGATATTACTTAAATCCATTGACTCCATAGTAAATGATAATGATAATGACATCAATATTGACTTATAACCATTTCGAAATAGGTTATTTTCGTATGATATAAACATTGGTATTTCAACTTTTTGGAGATTTTTTATTTGTTATGCTCTCCAACTACGTATTTGATTTAACATTCCAACTATTTTGATTCGAGCGCCACTGATGATTCTCATATCGACAGAATGTGTCGCGCGTACTAAATTATAATCTTGGTATCTTTCATGTTTTTTTTTCAAACCTGTTCAAATATGTATTGGTGGTACTCATCTTTTCGATTATAAAATACCTTTTTATAATTCTCACTTTTTTTCTTTTGTTTCCAAAATTATTTCATTTATGCTTTTTTGTTTTTATTTAATCATCCAAACTTTATTGTTAATATATTTCTAATAACTAATAAATGGGGTTGCTATTAACATATCCCAAGCTACTTGAGTATCTGATTATTAATTGCAGTCACTTTTCCCAATACGGTTGTTTCTGTATGATTTAAACCTACTACATGTAATTTTGAGTGCTTGTTGCTCATTCCTTTTTTTAAATCTTAATGAATAACATATAACTTAAATTCAACTTAATTTTCATATTGACCTGAACAGTTCCTTATCGACCACAATATACACTTTATTTCTGTTGAGTCTATCATTTGAATTAAACGTATTTGTTAGTACAAAAATTACACTTGAAAGTCAGATAAACTTGCTCTATGCCAATTTCAGATGTTCAGTGTATGTTCCGGTAATTTTTTTAACCTCTGTTATATCATCTTTAAAAACATGACGAAAGATATGTTCGAATCGTCGTAACCAAAATCCCGTCCTCTTTTCTTCGAATGTGACCTACCGAATTAGACTTATCATCGCTTTTTTACTTTCATGAGCAACACGACGGGTTCCACATATGGATCAGGATCTGTTAACCTTTCCGGAGCACTTGACAAATCCCTCCAGTTTAAGTTTCTATGTTGTGTTTTGTAGACTGTTGTTTATTTTTGCGTCGTTTTTTTCTTTCTTTTATATGGCATTGCCAGTTCGTTTGTCCCTAATGAGTTTGAATATCCCTTCGGGTATCTCCCACGCCACTCTTGAATGTTTTAGTTATGTTGCTTTTTAAAGTTTCAAGTGTTCAGTCTACTTGATAAAGATACTTGCTTGACTGATAAATGCATAATTATTTGTCTAATGAATGAGTTATCCAATCTTATTTGAATAGAAGAAATAAGTCGTAACACTTCCAGAAATTCCCTTACGGAAAATACCAAAGGTGCATTCAAAACTAGTTAGTAGTTGATACTCTGACAATGCCATGTCAATATGATTTAGAATACTCAAATCTAGAATCTTTCATCCTTATTGAAACAAAACGCCTACTAACTTCTTCAAACTAAGATATTTGAAAAATGATTGTATAAACCTAAAAACGTAACAAGGCTCAAAAAATAAAGATCGAATGAAACAAATCGTGTTTTAATTTGAAAGTATTATCTATCTTAGCATGAAGATGTTTCTAAAAGGATGCTAAACTATATGATTACATCAAATAAGGATCTTGAAAAAGAACTTCAAAACAGGTTTGGTGCTGATTGGATGAAGACAGAGGAATTCATTATTGACCTCATCGATGGAAATAAGGTTAAGTCAATTTCTATGTTTAAGTATTTAAATGGTTATGTTTTTTTCTAAAAATCAGGTATGATACAGTATGATAATGATTGTTTACCCCGATAATAAATATTAAATACATTGCAGAAAAATAAATTTCTCTCACAAAATACTTGTCTAAAACAATAATCAGAATATTTCATGTTTCCATTATTACATTACATGTATGTTTCATTAGAATCCGTAATTTTGATTGCCTGACAACTATTGCGAGACACTCCAATATTATAGAATACAACAGCTATGACTGGACAAACTAACCGTGACTGTGAAAAGAATGCATAGAAAAAAATAAACGAAAAGCTTGATATAACTCTTAATTTCACGATTGTAGCATTACTATGTAATTATAAGAATTGAATGCTTCTTTTTTTAATTTCTATGCTACATACAAAATGTGCTTATGTCAACGCTTTTACACCCCAATAAAATTCTGAAAATAATCATTCAATTCTTCATTATCAAAGCAAATTTCGTTTTCCAGCATAAAGAAAAAGATACAGCAAGATCTTATATGTATGAAGTAAGTTTGGAAGTGTATTTTACTCAACGACATGAACTCTGATACCTTTTTGTATTTAAACAACACACTGGTGGAAGCACAAAATATCAAATTAAATTCTCATAAAAGGACACATCACATTACTGGTGTGTTAATGAACTCCTCGGAAAATATGAAAAAAGGACGTACAAATGCACTATTTAAAATGTCAAATGACGTCGATAAAATAAACTATACACCTGAAAAAAATTGAAATATGAAGTTCTAAAAAGCATTCGTATATAAAAATAATTATAAAATTCTCTTCGTTGTTTTATAAAATATTGTATGCATTACCTGTTATCATTTATGAGGTCAGAACCTTTGCTTGGTCGTGTTTGAGCATAGATCATGTACAAAGTCTTGCGGATACTACAGGGATGTAAGGGATCAGTCATATGTGATACAAACAACGATATGAGTTGAATATGTAAATTGCTTTACTTAAATGTAAGAATTTGAGGGAAAAAAACCAGAAATATACTTTTACATTTTGAACAGGTCAAATAATTTGAACAAATAATTGTTTTTTTATATTTTGGTCGCAGTGTTTATGCGTAATTCAAATTGGAGAGTTCCCTACGTGTGTAGAACAACTTTGGCTTGGTGAATTTGTTTTAAGATAGGTTCATAAGAGGTTAAGTATCATTATCATTTTCTTCAACCTCGTACTTTATTTGGCTTATTTAACTTATTTGATTCGAGCGTCAATTATGTGTTTTTGTAGTCGAAACGCGCGGCTGGCGTACAAAATTTAAGCCTGGTTTTCTGATGAGTTTCTTTTCTCCATCTCAGAGTATAATCGACATTGTTAACATTGGACAAACGCTCACACCTCAATGGAAATAAAACGCCTACCTCAATTGTCAATTGTAAACAAAATCTCTACAATCTTTATCAGTGCAATACAACATAATGATGAACGTGATTATTAACAGAAAACAAATTAAAACAGACATTGCCTTTTACTGTATTGTTCCTTATTTGCATTGAACTTGTGGAACAACAATTTCGTTTTGTATTCTGCCAGATCTAAAAAGTTTTCCTTAAACTCATTTTCTTTCATTATTTTCTGTTAACTTATAACTAGAATACATTTAAGGTCTTTGTCTAGAGATATTAGAGTTAGCACGCAGCCTGAAAAACGTTTTTTGTTTTAAATTGGCAACCTTAGTTTCTTCATGATTTCTTACATCAACAGAAAATTAATAAATCAGTGGAGCACTGGACTAATGATAACATCGGTGACAATAATTCCCCCAGCATTGGTAAAGACCAGGAGCTAGAAAAATAAAGTGAAAAAAAAATAAAAATAAAAGTGAGGCAACGTTCGATGTTGTTCAAATAGATTGAACGCGTAAAACAAATGCTATTAAATCTGAACATACCACACTTTTTGCTGCAGATTGGTTAGTTCCGTTAGATATTTTAATCTATAACAGATTGTAAGAATCATTAAAAATTTGATGATTACTGTGGACAATGTATTACACATTGTATTATTGTTTTGACATTGTTTGTAGATTGTAGCAAACAAGCGGAATGAGATAGATGTTGATAAAATGGACTATTTCGCTAGAGATTGTCATGGACTCGGAATGAAAAGTACCTTTGATCATCTTCGTTTCATCAGTCAATGTAGAGTGATGTTCTTGAGAGATACCTCTAACGAAACTACAATTGCTGTTCGAGACAAAGTAAATTTATGTTTCTTTTTATTAACGTAAAAATAAAAACATAGGATACAATTCAACTTTCTTATATCAAGTTTCTTAAGATGACAAAAACGATTATCACGAGAAAGGATCAAAACTGAAATTGCTGATTACGGTAATCAATGCTAGTAACCAGGTTAAAACAGAATTTAATCATTTTGAATTATATTTCAGTTCTTGGTACTATTATACTTTTATTCCAAAATCTGTTTCACACAGGCTTCCTCAACATGACCTTTAATTCTAAACAGAAACTCGCATTTTTAAAACATAGCTGACTATAAAAACTATGTAAATATCAAATTTCGACAACTACTCTGAATGAAAGAGACTAGAAAGCGTTCGTTTGCGTAACATTCAAGTACGACAGATATTTGATTACGTACTAATTGACAGGTCAAAATAACCCGAAAGACGTAAAATATGATAATGGCCCTTTATTCTGACTTTCAAACAATGAGTTTGAACTATCTTTCTAATACCTTTTCAATGCGAAATCGTAAAACAATTTCATTACGCGAGTTTGTAGTTAATATTCATCGAAATGTTGATGCATCTTCAATTCTAGTTTGTTTTTCTTTCAAACAGCATATCAAAGTGTTTACCTCTTTTCTATCAATTTTTATACGGTGTCTTAGAATACAAAATTACTATCCTAAAAAGTACAGTAACAAAATGTCTAATGCCGAAGCAAGATTAACGGTTAAGTAATGTGAAAGTATTATAGATGAACAAACGGTTCCCGTGCATTTGAAATACAAGTTTATTCATGAAACTAATAAGCTTTTTTAAATTTTGTAATGATAGCATGTAGTTATTGCACAGTACTCTTTCGTTATTCAAATGACGTTCAAGTACAATTTGAATGCTTGAGTTATAATTTTGTTTAGGTATAGCCACATGTAATGTACAAGGTCGGAGTCAAGCGCCTGTTCATTGATTATTGTTTACTAGTATCATATTGTTTTGTCCTTTTATATCATTGATATTTACGTGGCGGGCACACTTTAAAAGACACTCGGGTCGAATCAGACCACTACATTAAATATAGACAAACCAAATGTAACAAAACACAATATTAATCATACCTCTTAAATGTTTGGTTGTTACCTTCTATCTTACTTCAGGAAGAGTATAATCTGTATGAACTGTTTCACACCAGAATTGGACTTTTCAGAAGAGCTTACTACCATAACGTGACTAAGGCAATAGAAATCATGTAAGTGAGAAAATCATTGACGCATACATGTATTCCCTTCTCTATTTTTTTGTTTTACTTTTCAACTAAATACTAGATACCCACAAAATATTTTTACAGTAAATGGGCGACAATTGTGTTTCATATTATTTCTAAGCATGTCAAACAATCACGATTTTGCATATTTAACCCTTTTACTTAAATAACTTTCATTTAAAGACACTGTTGTTATCAAATAGGCCGTTACTAAGTATGTTGGAGTTTGTTTTTTGTTGCACTTCAGTGTTTCTGTTGTTCCGTTGTTTTCCTCTTATTGTTGATGTGTTTCCCTCGGTTTTAGTTCGTAACCCGGATTTGTTTTCTCTTAATCGATTTATGACTTTTGAACAGCGGTATACTACTGTTGCCTTTATTTACCCATGGAAAGGGTTTATATTAAACCAAAACTGAAATGTTTTATTGAAGAATATAGATCCAAAATGTGATTATAAAAACCATACATAGTCTAACAAGAGTGCACACGCTGAAATGTCTCGCCTGCTTTACTGACCATTGATTTTATATTTGGTCAGATAAACCAAACCGGAAATACATGTACACCTAACAATCAATCTATATATTTACTATAGTTGACCTATTGCCTATAGTATCTAAGAAACAAACTGAACCATGAAAACTTAACATTGACCAATGAACCATGAAAATGAGGTCAAGGTCAGATGATACCTGTCCGACAGACATATACACCTTACAATCATTCCATACACCAAATATAGTTGACCTATTGCTTATAGTTTAAGAAAAACCGAACCAAAACATAAAAACATAACACTGAGCAATGTACCGCGAAAATGAGGTTAAGGTCAAATAAAATCTGCCAAACTGACAAGTACATCGTAAAATATTTCCATACACCAAATATAGTTGACTTATTGCATATATTATTAGTAAAAAGACCAAAACACATAAACTAAACTTTAACCACTGAACCATGAAAATGAGGTCAAAGTCAGATGACACCTGCTGGTTGGACATGTACACCTTACAATCATTCCATACACCAAATATACTAGACTTATTGCTTATAGTATCTGAGATATGGACTTGACCACGAAAACTTATTCTTGTTCACTGATCCATGAAATGAGGTCGAGGTCAGATGAAAACTTTCTGACAGGCACGAGGACCTTGCAAGGTACGCACATACTAAATATAGTTATCCTATTACTCATAATAAAAGAGAATTAACATTACAAAAAATTTTAACTTTTTTTTCAAGTAGTAACTGAACCATGAAAATGAGGTCAAGGACAATGGACATATGACAGACAGAAATTTCATAATATAAGGCATCTATATACAAAGTATGAAGCATCCAGGTCTTCCACCTTCTAAAATATAAAGCTTTTAAGTAGTTAGTTAACGCCGCCGCCGGATCACTATTCCTATGTCGAGCTTTCTGCGACAGAAGTCGCAGTCTCGACAAAAATGAAAACAACACTTTATAAATATCATGCGTCTTAAGCGCTTTTCTAGATTTGTCTTTATCAGGAACGTTCAAAGCTGATTATTTGAAAGCCAAGGATTATAAGAACTGAAATGGTTGAAGAGTTTTCTGACCAAAAAGAACCTAAACATTATAGCCAAATCAATATGAGGTCCACTTTGCCTGATAGAATTGAAATCGTAGTTTTTTTTAATGATTTCTCTGATTATAAACGGACTATTAAAGAAGATTTGAACCAAGTAAGGAATATGGCAGTTGTTTTTTACTTGTTTCGTTGATTGATAGTGTTTGATTTTGTCAGCTTTTATGAACGTCCCCTTTTTGAATTTGCCTTGGAGTTCGGTATTTTTATTATAATTTTTTTGTTATCAATCAACACAAATACTATTAAAAGGTCAATCAAATGATGGCATTCGTTTAACGTTTGTAAAGATGACTATAATTTTATTATAAATAAACTAATCATAGATACCAGGATTGAAATTTTGAACGCCAGACGTGCGTTTCGTCTACAAAAGACTCATCAGTTACTCGAATGAAAACAAAATCAAATTTTAAAAGGCCGAATGAAGTACAAAGTTGAAGAGCATTGAAGACTAAACGTTTTGCCAAATACAGGTAAGGTAATCTATTCATGAGGTAGAACAGCCCTAGTATTTCGAAAATTCAAGATTTTGTACAGTTACTGTAGTATATAATTATGACCATATCAATTCATGTCAACACAGAAGGCCTGACTACTGGGCTGGTGATACCCTGGGAGAAAACTCCATCAGCAGTGGCATCGACCCAGTGGTTGTAAATAAACTCATCATGGATACCAGAATTGAAAGTTTGTACGCCAGACACGCGTTTCGTCTACAAAAGACTCATCAGTGACGCTTGAATAAAAACAAGTCAAAAGTCCAAATAAAGTACAAAGTTGAAGAGCATTGAAGACCCAAAATACCTAAAAGTTTTGCAAAATACAGCTAAGGTAATCGATTCCTGATGTAGCATAGCCGTAGTATTTCGAATATTCAAAGTTCAAAGTTGTGCTGTCTGTTGTACTGCCCAATATTTTTGAAGGAGTAGAGTTTGGCTGAGTAGTGTTGTCTGTTGTACTGACCAATATTTTCGATTGAGTAGAGTTTGGCTGTTTATTGTCAGTTAATTTATAATTATGACCATATCAATTCATGTCAACACAGAAGTGCTGACTACTGGGCTGGTGGAAAACTCCATCAGCGGTGGCATCGACCCAGCGGTTGTAAATAAACTCATCATAGATACCAGAATTGAAAGTTTTTATGCACGATGTTGAAGAGCATTGAAGACCCAAAATTCCTATCTTGCAATAGTATTAAAACATTTGATTTTTCTACACTTTACACAAGTATTGCCCATTCCAAACTTAAAGACAAATTGAAAGAGTTGGTACTGCTTTGTTTCATAAAAAAGAATGGCCAACGTAGATACAAGTATCTTGTCTTAGGGAGGGATAAATCCTACTTTGTAAAAGAGCAATCTGATTCAAACAAAAAATTCTCTGAAACTGACATTATCAAGATGCTTGATTTCTTGATTGCCAACATATTTGTTACGTTTGGAGGACGTGTTTTTCAGAAAACTATCTGCATTCCCATGGGAACCAACTGTACCCCTCTTCTTGCCGACTTGTTCCTTTATTCTGATGAGGCTGACTTCATACATGAACTTCTTAGGAAGAAAGAAAAAGAAATTAGCAGTATCCTTTAACTTTTTTTTCCGCTTTATAGATGTTGTTTGGTGACTATGTTGACCGCATCTATCCCATCGAACTAGAGATAAAGGATAGAACAGATACAGTAAAGTCTGCCTCATATCTTGACTTACATCTAGAAATTGACAATGAGGGTCGGTTGAAAACAAAACTTTACGACAAAAGAGATGATTTCAGCTTCCGAATTGTGAACTTTCTATTTCTGTGTAGCAACATTCCAGCAGCGCCTGCATACGGAGTATATATCTCCCAATTGATACGATACTCCCGGGTTAGTATTTTCTAATGATTTCCTTAATAGAGGATTGCTGCTCACAAGGAAGCTATTAAACCAAGCGTTCCAAATGGTGAAGTTGAAATCATCTCTTCGTAAATTTTACAGACGCCATCACGAGTTGGTTGACCGTTATGGAATATCCGTTTCACAGATGATAGCGGATATGTTCCTAAAGTCGTAACTACAATCCCGTTCACTTTTCACGAATGTGACCTACCGAATTAGGACTATTTACCGGGTTTGTACTAACATGAGCAACACGACGGGTGCCACATGTGGAGCAGGATCTGCTTACCCTTCCTGAGCACCTGAGATCATCCCCCGGTTTTTTTTTTTTTTTTGGGGGGGGGAGGGGTCGTTTTGATTAGTCTTTAGTTTTCTATGTTGTTTTTTGTGTACCATTGTTTCTCTGTTGGTTTTTTTCTTTTTAGCCATGGCGTTGTCAGTTTATTATCGATTTATGAGTTTGAATGTCCCTCTGGTATCTTTCGCCCTTCTTCTATAAAACATGGCCAAATACAGCTTAGGTTATCTATTCCTGAGCTAGAAAAGCCTTAGTATTTCGAAAATTTTAAAAGTTTTAGAAACAGTTAATTTATAATTATGACCATATCAATGATAATTCATGTCAAAACAGAAGTGCTGACTGCTCAGCTGGTGATACCCTCGTGGATAAAAAAAAACCTGTGTTTAATTACTATTTATAACCAGTTAACCTCTATATTATTATAATGTATCGACTTGGAAATATATACTCTATGTTAAGGCACTGGTGGAATTTTGCGACCTAAAAATAGAAGTCTCTATTTGAGTACACATCGGTTGCTTGTTAACATTTCTACTGACTTCAATAATAAAGAAAAATCTATACTTTTTACAGGAGGTTTAAATAATCGTTTAATTGCATTGAAAACGAAGGGCGGGGAGATTCAACAGATAGTTTAAAACATCTTCCTGTATGTTAGTGAAAAAAAATGTTATTTTTTTTTATTAAGATAATGAAAAAAATGGTTTCTCCCATGTCGGTGTCTTACATTTTCGTTCCCTCCCACTGAAAATCAAATGATCCACTAAGGCTATTTAAATTTAATCATGATTTTAAGCGAGCTATTCTTGAGGCTTTATCATATACATAGGTAAATAGCTTAATTAATAATATTATTATAATCATGTTTATTCAATATATGTAACTTTCTTAAATATTCATAATACGATCCACGTTCTTAAAATCTAGTTTTATGTACATTTTACCCACACAAGGCCAACATTGACTATCGACTGCATGAAGTCAAAACCTGATTTATACTACATGTAAACATTAATGCTGTATATCAATGGGAATGTAATAGAGTTTAGCTTAAGTGTTGAGTACACTTACACCACACCGAGTTTAGCTTAATGTGAACACGGCCTTAGTATATATTCTTACAATGAGCTGAGAAAAATGTGAACACTTTAAGTGTTATGTAAAAATATTATGACACAAATTGATTTAA